AAAGGAAATTTTTTTTTTTCTTTTCCTTTCTTTCCTTTATCTATCAGTGTTCTCAGATTATTTTCTTTTCTTCTTTCAAGCCTTTGTCCTCTTTCTTTTGGCAGCAAAAGCTTAGGTGGTCCGGGCGCTGACGAATTGATAGAGTGAGGCGCTTCGGGGTTGAAGAATGAGAGGACCGGGAAGAGAGAATGAGACAGAAGAGAGGGGGATTTTAGAAACAAGCTCTCGAAAGATGGAGTGATTCACCCGACCATAGGAAGGGAGACAGCTAAGAAACAGCTGGTGAGCGGCGAGATGCAAAGAATGGAAAAGGCGGAAAGAATGAATGGGGAAATGCCGCAATTAACCTACAGGTGTAAAAAAAGTATAATAATAAAATAATAGAAAAAAGGCGTGAGAGCAATACGCCGTAAGACCCTGAAGGGCTAAAGGGGAAGGAAAAGAAAAAGAACCACGAGAAAAATGAGAAAAAGAAGATGATGAGGACAGTGGATCGACACACGGTGGAGATGGTAGAGGTTAAGAGACTGCTCGAGTACTCAGTCGAAGGAAGGAAAGGAAAAAGAGCTCGGCATGTAGAAAAAAAAATAGCTGAGAAGAGAACAAACAGCACAGCACAACAGCAGGTCAACCTGCAAACTGCTCCGTACGGTAAACCTCTTCTCCTCCCCTCCACTACGGGGAATTTCCTTTTCACCAACTAAATGAATAGGTACGAACTACTACTTGACCACCACAACTAGAAAAAAAAAAGAAAAAGAAAGATAATAATAATAATAAAAAATGGCGACCAATACGACCGGGGAGGATAAGAATAGCAAATCTCGCTGGCCCTGATATTATGACGAAAAGAAAAGCGCAGTGCCTCCAATCGGACGATGGGGTTTTATTGTCTGCAGTGATCTGGGACTTGTTCTCTAGTCAGACTCTTGTCGATCGGACTGATGACGGTGTAACGGGACTAGAACGCGAGACTAGTAGAAATCTATCCTACGCGAATATATTAGTATGTCCATCTACAAAAAGTTAGTCAAAATAAAATAAAATAAATTCGCTCTAGGTCAACAGATCCCGATCTTATAGGATATGCATGCCTGCAGATTCCTGGGAAGACACTACTGTATGTATGTACATAGAGACTCAGAGAGGGAAAAGAAAAGGTAAAGTCCAGTCTTGTTATTTTTTTTTTGTTACTATGGGAATAGGGCTGCTCTACAAAGGGTTTAGTTCACAGCTCCCCAAGAACGATATCCTGGTCCAAGTATGAGGTAATGATACAGGAGAGCATGCGGCGTGATTGGTGGGAACCCTCACGCGATGCATGGGCCTCCAAAGAGCCACATGAGAGAGTCTGTCCTCGGAAGACGGCATTACGTCGGAACCGTATGTGTGGCTCACCCGAAAGCTGTGGCTTGACACTTCAAGTTTCCCTTCCCCAGGCACACCTGAGATTCTAGGGCGGGCCGTAAGAACCTCAGCCGCAGCCAAGCATTTTGCGTCTCGAACACTTTTTTCCACCGGGTCTCCGAAGTCACGTCCCAACCAGCCTCATCTGTCTTGCTGGTTGTCCGTCACCATGGCCACTCTCGGTGCTCTCAACCCCTACGGGCATCTAGCTCGGTCAGGTAAGTCATCCAATGGCATTTTTCCGATGACCCTATCCCATCAATGGCGAGTTCTCACCTATCCGAATCTCCAGCCCGGACCGGCATCACCTACATCCCTCGCCGCACCTTGACCTATTCTGTCCCTCGCCGTGCCCAAGAAAATGGTGATAATGGAAATAAAGACCCCCAATCGAAGCCCTCCGCCTTTTCGTCCATCAAGAACTTTTTCTTCGGCGGAAAGTCTGACGCAAAGCCCACAGTCCACCGGAGGACAGCCCCCCAGAAGCGAGAGGGTAGCCTGAGTGCGGACTCAATTTTCGCGGAGGACGAGGCAACTCCCAAGCTGATTGCTTCTGGTCGTACACCGGCGGCCCGTAAACAGGAGGCTGAACCCACCGAGGAAGGAGAGGTTCAGACTGGTGTCGAGCACCGGAACCGGGACAATATGCAGATGGTGTTAGACCCCCGTCCCGAGGCCCGTATTCGTTGGGAGCGTAAGATGGTCGTCCGGGAGGTTCGCCGCCGAGGACGTCTTTCCAAGACCGAACAGATCATGCGCACTGAGCGCGAATCGGTCTCCAAGTCACACTGGTTCAAGACTTCCGTCAAGAAGCTTGGTCCTCTGGCCCGCCAGATTGCCGGAAAGAATATTGACGAAGCCATGCTGCAAATGCGCTTCAGCAAGAAGAAGGCTGCCAAGGATGTTCTCGAGCATCTCAAGCACGCGAAGAACGTTGCCATTGTCCGCTCCGGTATGGGTCTTGGTGCCGCCGAGGCGACAATCCGCAAGCCCATCACGATCACTCTGAAGTCTGGAGAGCGTAAGACTATCACCGACCCGACCTCCATCTACATCGAGCAGGCGTGGGTCAACCGCGGTCCATATGGCGTTGATTACGACCACCGTGCCAGAGGCCAGATCAACCTCCTCCGCCCCCCGTACACATCTCTTTCGGTTGTCCTGAAGGAGGAGAAGACGCGGATCAGAGAGTGGCAGGACCGTGAGGCTGTGTCGCAGCGCAAGCGCAAGACTCAACTCTGGACACAGCTGCCTGATCGGAAGATCTCCGCTCAGAACCAGTACTACAGCTGGTAAGCTTTTTCTCCCGACGTTTATCTCCGGCCTCGTCTCGGCAAATGATGGGTTTCTTCGGCGTTTGTCTCTTGTATTATTTTAGACCGTTAGCACTCCACCTGGCGGGTAAATCAGCGCATGTTCATTCTTCTTTCTATTTGCGGCATTTCTTTTGATCTAAACGCGGTTTCATCATCTCCTCGTCTCGTTTGGGTTGTTCTACGTGAGTCGAGAGAGAAAGTATGCACCTTGGTCCAACCTGTTCAGATTATTCGTGATGGAAGACGCCGACCAAACTTCACAAGGAGCCTGTCTGTAGTGGACCGAGCTCAATACATGTACAATATTGAAATATACAACATATATCTACATGCTCTCTCATCAACCCCATCATTCATAAAATAGACCTATTCTATCCCAACCAACCACACCACACCAAAAGAAAAACCCACCAAATGAAACCCCTAAACCCGACTCCGAGGAGGACAAACAGGCGCCCTGGTCGGCGGCTCCACCGTCACAGGAGGACTCGGCCCTTCAACCCTCTCCGCCCTCACCAGCACCGGAATCACCGCGCCCGTCATCAACGCAAACCGCCGATGCCCCACCACCTCCAAAACACTCGTAATCGCCCCCGAATGCGCCGTCAACGAAACCACCGTACTCGCATCATGCGCAAACACATCGGACAGTAGCTCTCGGAGCCGGACATCCCGCGCAGAGTCCGATTCCCGGAGCTCGGGGTCATACAGCGGATCTTGTTCCGCGAAGCCCTCCTCGAATCGGTACAGGGGGTATTCCTCCACGATGGCGGTTTTGCTGGATCGACTGTCACACGTGTGGAGGCCGATTGTTTCACGGAGGAGCTGGTTCGGGTACTCGTTAGTTCGTTGTCCAATCAAGCTTGGAGTGGAACGTTGTATATCCACTGGGGGTCTGGGTTGTTTTGGAATTGATGTAGAATAGGTAGGTAGGTAGGTAGGTAGGTAGTTTCAATGGAGTCATTGAGAACAGGGGAAGTAGTGTTGTAGTGTTTGTTAGGTCACAACTTACCTCTTTGATTACAGGCCGGAAGGGTTCCGTATGCGGTAGACCTAGGTCCTTGAAGGTGATGCTAGCAGTCGCTAGACACCGGTTCAAGGGACTCACGTAGTAGGACTGTGGAGAGGGGATCTTGTCCTTGATTTGTGTTCTCCACGCCTGGTTGGCTGTTTCGGCTTGCGAGATTCCTACTTCTGTGAGACGGGCGTCGACCCAGGTACCGGTCTCGTCGCCGTTTTGGAGGGACCAGTAGCACTTTTGTTACCCTCTTCGTTAGTGTTGAATATATGGGGTATGATGTAGACTAGAATTGGGTCATGGAATCTTGCAGGGACGAAGACAGACAGACAGACAGACAGAGAGAGAGAGAGAGAGAGAGAGAGAGAAAGTGAAGGGAAAAGATACATACATCCCAAAGCTCCGTCCCATACCTTCTCTCGGCGACATTATGGATCCCTTCTCCATGTCTACCCAGGAAGAGCAGTTTGAATTGCGTCTCGGGACTGCTATCCTGGTTTAGCTTGTTGAGGTGGTACTCGAACCGTTCCCATTGGGTTCTGTGGCCCTCTGGGTCAAACTCAGGGTCGGAGTCGTAGCTCCGGGGTATGAGTCCGAAATTGGATATTACCTGTTTTTTGCTTCATGAGTACTTGCTTTCTTGTTTCTGTTTAATTGGGGGTGAGGTGCGGGATGGAATGGACTGGGGGCTTACATAGTCGAAATTGTCGGGGTCGGTGCTGGGGTCATCTTGGAGGAAATAACCTGTCACTGTTGTGAATTGGAAGTGGAAGTTTGAAGGGGTTGATTTGGATGTCATGGCTGTGGCAGTGTTGTCCGAGGACTACTTAGTAGTGAGCTTTTAGTAATTGAGTAGGGTATGTTAGTTTTCTTTTCTGTGTGTGTATTTTTTTTTTTTTTTTTTTGAGATTGTTGAAGACCAATGGACGTACATATTATGGTTATCGGGGGTTAAAGTAGAGTGACTTTACACCAGAGGTTGTTGTTGATACTGGTGTGGACACTCTCCTAACCCTAAACTCAATGGGGCGTGGGGTAGTTTGTTTGCCTAAGGTGGGGAACGGCAAGTATTCTCCTGATCCATTAAACTACTCTGTACAGAGGCTGGAATTTGAGTCACTTGGTGAAAAGAATTATGTATTTCTCTCTAACTCTAGCCAATCGTTAAAATCCCGATTGAATATTCATGAAAATATGCCCAACAAACACCGCTAAAAAAACCTAGCAATAAACCAAATATGACCACAACCTTAAGGTATCTTTTCCCACAACCGAACAATCAAAGGACAGAAGCTTCAGCACGAACAGCAAAAGCTCAAGCAGGCTCGAGGTTAAATTAACCCCATTCCCTTCCGAGCGAACCAATGTTGTTTGGAAGCAAAGACGGCAAATGTGCCTAACATGCCTCCGGCCGATGAAACAACCGATCCCAGATTTTGCCAAAAACCGGCAAATGCGAGACCAGCCTTGAAAATCGCTGTGGTAGCATACTTGCTGAGCGTGGTACAGTATCCTCCAACGGACACTGGTTGGCTTATGACTGTAGAAACAGTCTGCGCAATACGCAATTGCTGGCTTCCACCACTCGACGAGCGATTGGTAGATACAGATTGAAGAGGCAGAGAGTTCATCTCCGCCCTGGTGGACTGTATGCGAAGTGAACCTTCGTTGTTTTCCTTTGGAACCTGGCCGAGACGCCAAGTAATAGTTTGCGGCGAACCGCTTGACACGCGATTGACGGTAGATCTGGGACAGATTCCCCGTTCCAGGACAGATTGCTGCTTCGAGGTCGGTACAAGCAGTTTCTGCGTTGGCGACATCAGGCGACCAGGAACTGAAGGAGTCTGGTCGACACCACACCAAGGTGTTGTCGGCCTGTAAGACTGCGGTACCTGTGGTCTGAGTTGTCCCGTGTTTGCCGCTTCCACTGGCTTTGACAGAGAACCCGGTGAGTGCCTTCCATGGTACACATCCAATGGTGAAGGCGCAGTGACCGAGTAGTTGTCCTGTGGAGACCGACGAAGATCTCTCTCCCTGTGCTTCCAAACCAGAGTCTTTGGGGTTTCCACATTCGGTGGAAGCACACCGGTTTGCGTCTGTTTCGTGAGTGAAACATGACGTGGCCGGGCGTGAGACGGGCTATGGAGTGGCAGACTAGTCTGTCTAGTCGGGTCAAGCACCGCTGTAGTAGGAGAAAGAGCGGGGCTGTTGACACTGAGACGAGCGCCCTTGATGTCAAGGCAATTGCACTATATGCTTGTCAGTACACTTTGCCCACTAAGAGGCAATTTTGGTTTACTTACCCTCTTATGTTGTTTTCGATGTTTTTCACAGGCACCATGTTTTCGAACTTTGATGTAGTTTTCCTTTTGCGCCCGTGACCGAGGTTTCTGCTTCCTCGGTAGATTCGCAGGCGTGTTCATGTTAAGGTCCAAGACCAGTTCAATCCCGCCAGGTGTCGCCTCGGTAGATGGAGGTGTTGACGACTTGGTTGTATCAGACAGTAATGTAGTCGCAGGGCTGGCGCATGCAGGGTCATGGGAAACACTCCACGGAGGCGATGGGAAACTGGTATTTGAATCCGAAGACATATCTATCTCGGGAAGTGGGGCATCTTGCAAGCGCTGTAGATGTAGGGCTATGGCTGCTTCTCGGCGTTTTTCTTTCTTGGAAGAGCAGCTCGGGTCAACCGCCGCTTGCGACTCTACCATATGCCGAATGGTCGAATAGTAATGGTCGTCGTAACTGTGCGCGCCTGGCAACCAGGCACTGTCAAACTCGGACCCAACGAAGACTTCGCTTGGTGAAGTTGACGGAAGTTGAAGGATATCATTGGGGTCTACCACGGGCTCGGTATTCGCGGTACCTCCGAAGTATTCCGGGAATGATGGTTCGTGGTTGACAAAGTCGGTGAATGGGATTTGAGTGCACATGTCGAGTCCCGAGTCCCAATTTGACCCGTCTAGGTCGTTGTAAGCCAAGTCAAAGTCCTTGGGGGAAATTGAGTTGACCGAGGTCGGGTTACTGTCGACATAACCCGAGGGGATATCAAAGAAGTTGTCAAAGTCAAAGAATTCATCACCCTGGGATGAATGACCCATTGAGTAAAGCAATTGGTCGGCAGACATGATCAAAGAGCGACTCCTGTGTTTCAATTGGGAGGGA